ATATCTTGTCTTATACTGACATATATTAAACTTTATATCTTGTCTTATACTGACATATATTAAACTTTATATCTTGTCTTATACTGACATATATTAAACTTTATATCTTATCTTATACTGACATACATTAAACTTTATATCTTGTCTTATACTGACATACATTAAACTTTTTTTTATGAGATATTTCTTGCCTTGCAACCGTGAGAGATAGTGTAATGTTTTAAAAGGTTAAAATAATTCTGAACGACCTAACATGAAGATGTGTCAGGAGATAAATGTATGTAAGATATAAAGTTTAATATATGTCAGTATAAGACGAGATATAAAGTTTAATGTATGTCAGTATAAGACAAGATATAAAGTTTAATGTATGTCAGTATAAGACAAGATATAAAGTTTAATATATGTCAGTATAAGACAAGATATAAAGTTTAATGTATGTCAGTATAAGACGAGATATAAAGTTTAATGTATGTCAGTATAAGACAAGATACCACCACTGAGCTATGATCTTTCACCCCATATCCACCAAATGTCAACAGAAATGTTAAGAGGACAACTTACAACGAGGCTTACCTGCGAAATCGTTATTCCACATTTCTTAGCAAGCTCTTCTTTTGCCTCCTCACTGGGGTAGGGGTTACTCAAGTGTGAATAAAAGTATTCGTTCAAAATCTCCGTGGCCTGTTTACTAAAGTTTCTTCTCTTCCGCCTGAAAATAGTTACACCTCTATAATTCAGCCGAGGAAGAAAGAAGAAAAATAAAAGCTACCTACAAATAAACGTTTGGGATTAATCTGTATGTCCGTCCACAATCTACATAAGTTGTGCAGTACAAGACTTTGACGAGGCACCAGAAACGATTCGTGAAGTATTGCACGCATTTATAAGTCGTTATATAAAGAAGATTGCTTTGTCCATTAAGTTTACGCCAGGCGTGGCCAAATGGTTGACACGGCCGGACTGTGAATCCGTGGATTTACGGTTCGCGACTCGTTGTTGTAAGAACCCGTACTCCACAATTTGGGGCCGAGGTAAATTCTCGCCATTCGATTGAACGAGAGTAGCCCAGGAGTTGGCGGTGGGTGTTGTTGACCAGCTGGCTCCTTCTTTAATCTATCGAAATTAAGAACGTCTCTGCACACGTAGATGACTCTTGTGTGGCTTTGCGAGAAATTTTGAAACAAACAAATCATTAAAATTAATAAAGAAAAAAATGCAAACGAAGTTTTTAGCTATTCGTGTACTGTACCAATATTTATTTTAAAATTATTACGTCATTACGCGCCTAACGCTGTGTGCCACTCTAGATTTACTGTCACAGTTGAGTTATTTTGGCGTAAAATCAAAAGTTACCCCCACCTGCGTTCACTGAAACAAGTCTTTTTCAGTGAGTTTAAACCTTTGTACGTTTGTATTTTGTTTTAAACAAATAAGCATGTTAAGGGAATTATGAAAAACTGTTGTATATTTGTTTTCTGAAATTCTCTATCAAAACAGAGCATCAGTGATAGATAAATCTTGACGTAACTAAGTTCGTTTTTGTTCGAATAAAGCCACGTTTTGAACGAGCCACGTGCATCTCGGAAACTCTAGTTAGAAACAAAGAAAATTGGGAATATATATACAGAAGATGTGGAATCTTTTTTTGATCCAGCGTCATTAGAGGAATCCAGAGTTATGAGCTTGCACGCTACAACGCAAGAGAGTCTCCATTTGGCAAATGACTATACTGATTGAAACCAGACACGAACCCCCGTTTCGGATGTGTCAAAAAGCCCTTCGCAATATAAACCTATTGATAACAGAAGACAAAGAAAAATGTGGAATGGTGGGGAGAGGGGGATGGGGGTGTATAGAACCAGAACGTTTCTAGTCAGAAGAGCAATCGTCACTACTTTCCAGTAAGAAGAAAAAGTCCGAATCTCTTAGAAACCGAGCTCAGCGGATGCTGAGTATCTTTTGCTTCAGTTTAAAACACGTTTCTCTACTTTAAGTCTTTGCAAAGAAGCCAACCTAACTCGAATAAAGAATAACGTCATGTGGCAGTGAGCTGTCAACACTAATTATCACTGAACGCTGCCAGTTTCTTGAGCAGCCCTTCCATAGGGTCTTCAAGGGTGTGAGCCAACTCCAAGAAAAAAACACAACATGCTTTTAGTTCGAGACGCATATTTCTTCCTCATTGAAATCTACAGGAAATAAGAAGACTCTTAACAACAGAAATGTTACTTGAAGTGGGACCCGGCATGGCCAGGTGGTTAGGGAGCAATCTAAGGGTCGC